TTTATATGAAAAATGTGCTGAAGGTGATGGAAATACTATCATTGAAAGAAATGATCCAATGATACATTCTCTATTACAAGGAAATCAGTCTATCGTAGTTGTCTCTTCTTAATGTTTATACATACATTTTTATTACTAATTTATTTGGTTTATGATAGGTATCATTCTTTGTAACTCTTTTTTAATCAACTCTTTGTTGTTGTAGTTAAAAAAATAGAAACGTTTCTCACACACTTTAGTCTTTTGTTGTTTTTCAAAGTCCAACAAAAAATAAAAAGAATGTCTATAAATATTTTTTGGAGGTTGTTTTGTTTCATAAAAACAACTCCTAAAAACAACAAAAATTAATTACTTTTTTGTTAATTTATGCTATTTTTATTCTTTTATTCTATATCAAAAAAAAATTTTTATTATCTTTGATATATATAACGTAATATTATTCTTTTGTTAATTAATGAAAATATCAGAGCATATCCTCTTTCATTATTTTTTTTTGTAAAATTATAAAAAATAGTAAATAAAACCATTGAAATAGTTAAACATGACACGTCATTGGTATGTGGATAATATAAGAGAAACTTATTTAAAGATGAAGAACTTAAAAAAATACACTAAGAGGAAATGTTAGTTTTTGTCACTCTCTTATTGTTGTTATTAGGAGTGTCTGCACAAGAGAAAAAAAATTTCGATGTAGAAGTTTCACGATTGATGCATCTTATTATTCATTCATTATATACTAATAAGGAAATTTTCCTTAGAGAATTAATTTCAAATGCATCAGATGCTATTGATAAATTAAGGTTTCTTTGCATTACTGATAAGAGTCTAAACATTGATCCAAGTTCTTTTAAAATTAGAATTGGTATTGATGCTGCTAAAGGATCTATTTATATTATCGACAATGGAATTGGAATGACAAAAGAAGAATTAGGTAAGAATCTTGGTACTATTGCAAAATCTGGTACAGCAGAATTTATAAAGAAATTAGAAGCAACAGAAGATCATAAAAATTTGATTGGACAATTTGGTGTTGGATTTTATTCTTCATTCCTTGTAGCAGAAAATGTTACAGTTATTTCACGTAAAGCTGGATTAGAAGAAAGTTATGCCTGGGAAAGTAATGGTGAAGGTTTTGTTGTTAGAGAATTAAAAGAAGATGAAACTCCAATGGAAGAACAAGGAACTAAAATTATTTTAGAATTAAAAGACAAATATTTCTTGGACATTAATGTGTTAAAAGATCTTGTTAAGAAATACAGTGAGTTTATTCAATTCCCAATTGAAATGGAAGTTACTAAAAAAGAAGAAGAAGAAGTTGAAGATACTGAAGCTATGAAACAAGAAGCTCAAGAAAAAGCAAAGAAAAGAATTGAAGAAGGAGAAACAAGTAAAACAGAAGAAGAACTTATTGAAGAAGAATTAAAGAATGTTGAAGTTAAACATAAATTTATAACAAAAAATATTACATCATGGGAAGCTATTAATGTTAATAAACCTATTTGGATGAGAAGTGATGTTACTGATGAAGAGTATAATCAATTTTATAAAGCATTAACTAAAGATACTAAAGACCCATTAGCAAAAATACATTTTAATACAGAAGGTGATTCAGTCTTTAGAGCATTATTATATATCCCAGCTGAAGGACCTAATCCATTTGCTCCTAAAGACCCAGAAAAATTAAAACAAATGCTCAGATTATATGTTAGAAGAGTTTTTGTTTCAGGAGACTTTTATACTACATTACCAGATTATTTGACTTTCATTAGAGGTGTTATTGATTCAGATGATCTTCCATTAAATGTTGGAAGAGAATTAATTCAAGAAAATAGACATATTGACAGAATTAAGAGAAAGGTAGTTAGAAAAGTTCTTCAACTTATTCAAGACCTTAGTGAAAATAATTCAACTGTCTTTGAGGCATTTATGAAAGAATATTCAGTTCAAATGAAGATTGGTGCTATTACTGATGTACCAAATAGAGGAAGAATTGCTAAATTGTTAAGGTATCATTCTTCAATTTCTGGAAATGAAACTATGTCATTCCAAGATTACATTGGAAGATTAAAAGAGAATCAAACAGAAATTTATTATGTTTGTGCTGATTCATTGGAAGAAGCTAAGAACTCTCCTGTTGCACAATCAGCAGTTAGTGCAGGATATGAAGTTATTTATATGACAGACCCAGTTGATGAAGCAGCAAGTAGAAGTATTAATACCTTTGAAGGAAAGACACTTGTTGATCTTGGCAAAGACGGTTTTGGAGTAGAGAATGATGATAAAGAATATGACGAATTAAAAGAATTTATTCAAGAAAATATAAAAGAAATAAGTAAGGTTGAAGTCTCAAATAAACTTGGAAATGTTGCTGGAGTAGTTATTTCAGGTAAAGATGGATTAACTGCTAATATGGAAAAACTTATTAAGGCACATGCAACTGCTAACAAGAAAGACTTTAATTTAGAGAATATTAAAAGAGTCTTAATCATTAATGGAGAACATGACATTATTATAAAAATTAATATGTTAATTAAAGAAGATAAGAAAGAACAAGCAATAGAATTTGTTAAAGGAATGTATAATACAGCATTGATTCAATCTGGATATACAGTCACTGACTCTAACGAATATGCTCAATGGGTTCAAAGAATGATTGAAAAGGAACTTTCTGAAATTGAAGAAGTTGAAAAGAAAGAAGAAAAGGAAGAAAAGACTGTTGGAGTTGATGATATTGTTAATCAAAAGAATGAACTCTAAATTGAATTGAATTACTTTCAAAAAAAAAACAAATTGTTGTTATTATTTTTTTAAATATACCAAATTCTTTTTTAAAAGAAACTAATTAATTACAATTAATGAACCAATCAATTCATGGAATATTTCGATATAACTATTCTAAAACATATTGTTCTATTATGATTCAAAATCAAATTGTTAATATCATTATTCCTAAATTATATTGTAATGGAGCATTAGATGGGGATGAAGTTAGTGTTAGTATTTTAAGTCCAAATTACTGGGAGGTGGTTGACCTTATCACTGGAAATATCATTCAAAGTACAAAACCAAATGACAATTTTAAAATGTTTCTTCCTCAAATTCAAATAACAAACATTATTCAATTAATTCAATTAATTCAACAAGTTAATGGCAGGACAATAGTTGCTGTAGGAAAAGTTGATTCAATTAATAATACTCAAGACATAGAATGTACAGGATATATAGAACATAGAATGTTTTTTTGTGATGATAAACGAATACCTGTATGTAAAATAAACAATTCAGATACTAATTTTCATCGAGTTAAAGGTAGGTTCAAGAGAAGAGAACAAATTTTTGAGGTAGAATCTATTATTCAATACAAACAAACAAAAGAAAAAAGTAAAGAAAATGAAATGGATGATTCAGAAACAATTATAATTATGTGTGATGATATAACTCAACAAAACACACAATTATGTACTCCAGACTCAAATATAATATATTGTGTTGAACCAGAAAATGATGGAATTCATTTTGATCTTAGAAATAGAAGAGTATTTACAATAGATAATAAAGAAACAAAAATGAGGGATGATGCTCTTCATATTTGTTTTGTTTCACAAAATGAAATAGAAATTGGTATTCATTGTATAGATTTTACTGATGAAATAACCGCTCAACAAATATCAGACATAATTAACGGCAAACGAGAAGGTAATTCTGGAAATTTATTTGATAAAAAAAAGAGTGAGTCATTATCTTTAAATAAAGGTAAAATATGTTCTGCATTTTCTGTTTTATTTAATGTTGATTTAACAAGACAATGTATTCAAAAAGTAAGAATAGGTAAGACAATTATTCGGATCAATACTAATTTAACATTTGATCAGTTTGATAATGTTTGCAAAGGCACAGACTCTTCCTTTGATAGTTGTTTCTATCCTAAAGAACAAATCATTAAAGATTGTCTTAATTTGAAAATGGTCACACAAAAAATACTCCTTCCATCATTAAAAGGTTATACAAAACAAGGAGATAATGGTGGAGATGATATCATTCGTATTCTTGGTGAGTTTGTTGGAAGAGTAGTTGGTGAAATTCTTTATAGGAACTATGGAGATTTGGCAATTGTACTTAAATTCAGAAATATCCATTTTGCTTCTTTCAGGTCTCCTCTTAGAAAGGTTCATGATATGTGTGTTATTAAACAGTTGGAATCTGTTTCTTGCCATTACAATGACGAAGAAATGGCACTGTATGTTTGTTATGGAAAAGAAGGTTTAGAGAAACTTATTAAACAAAGTCATTAAATAAAAAAGGATATTTTTAAAGTCAAAGATA